GATGTAGGACTCGATCCCAGGACCCTGGGATCATGACCTGAGCCGAAGGCAGAGGCTTAACCGACTGAGCCACCCAGGCATCCTGAACAGCCTCCTATTGATGGACATTTAGGATAATTCCAATTTATGCTATTACAAATACTCCAATGAAAGTCTTTGCATATAGACAAGTTTTTGCATATTTGTGCAGTATAGCTATAGGATAAATTACTACTGGATAAAAGACTATGTGCACTTTAAGTTTTGAATATTATCAAATTACCCTCCAAAGAGGGCACTTCCTCCAATGTTAATGGGGGTATCCTGCCTCCCAAACAAATCCCAATACCATACTGACCTTAAAAGCCTCTGACAGTATAATAGGTAAAAATGGTATCTTGCTTTAGTTTCTTTGTGTGTAAGGTTGAGCATTTTCATCATATAATTGCCTTTTTTTTTAAGAGGGGGGAGGGAGGAAGTGGGGGAGGGGCAGAGAGAGAGGGAGGGAGAGAATCCCAAGCAGGCTCCATACCCAGCTCCAGCCCGAGGCAGGGCTTGATCCCACTACCCTGAGATTAGGACCCCAACAGAAATCAAGAGTCCCACCCTTAACCCACTGAGCCACCCAGGTGCCCCCGTAATTGGTTATCTTTATTTATATTTCTGTTCTTGCTCTTTGCCTATTTTTCTCTTGTGTTTTTCTTATTTTTAAAAAATCCTATTGATCTCTTTTGATTTGTAATGTCTTTTAAAATGAAAGAAATTAATCTTTTTGTCTATCATCCCTGGCAAATACTACTATGTTTTGGTACTTTGTTTATAGTACTTTTTTTTATTCTCTGTGGAAGTTTTTAAATTTTATGTATTCAGAATCAGTCTTTCCCTTTATAGCTTTTTTTTTTTTTTTTAAGATTTTATTTATTTGACAGAGACCCAGCGAGAGAGGGAACACAAGCAGGGGGAGTGGGAGAGGGAGAAGCAGGCTTCCCACAGAACAGGGAGCCTGATGTGGGGCTCGATCCCAGGACCCTAGGATCGTGACCTGAGCCAAAGGCAGACGCTTAACGACTGAGCCACCCAGGCGCCCCATTATAGCTTCTTTCTGACTCTAAGATTTTTAAAAATTCAACAGTGCCTTCTCTAGTAGTTTTACTTTTTATGTTTGAATGTTTGAGACACCTGAAATTGACAGAACTGCCCTTGGTGACAGTGGTTACCACTAACTCGCCCTCCTCACAACCCCTCACTCACCGGCCTCAGCACTCTGCGCACCTCCTGGAGGATGCGCTCCTGGCTCTCCACGGAGCACAGCACCAGGGTGCAGACCACCACGTCCATGGAGCCATCGGCCACCTGAGGCATGTTCTCCCCCGCAGCCACCACGAAGCGCTCGAACTGCAGGTGTCGGTTTTCCGCCACGCTCTTGATCAAGAACTTCTCAAAGTTGGGGTTGGGGTCACTACAAGTCACGCTGCATCCGGGTGGGTAGAACTTGAAGTTGGCCCCGGTGCCGCAGCCTATCTCCAGCAGGGAGAGTTTCCCGGAGGGGCCCACGAAGTCCTGCAGGTTGCTGAAGAGCTCCCGCTTCTTGCTGGCCATCTGCTGGTTGTACATCACGGAGCACCTCAGCATGAAGTAGGGGAACCATTTTTTGCATATCTGGTTCCACAAGCCTAGAAAGTTCAGCAGGAACATGGGAAATGCCAGGATGCAGACGAACAGCCTGAGGATAGAGACGGTAAGCGCCATTATTCAGAAGAGAAAGACCAGTTAGCCCTGGACTCCTTTATTGCAGGAGGTGGAGTTCTGGCCACACTCCAGAGCCAATCAGCTGCAGAGGAGAGAACTGGCTGGGAGAGAAATGCAGCTGAAGTCAAATCATGGGCCATTTTGTCTCATTTATAGGCGTTTGGCAAAAGATTCAGCTTAGTTTTCACGAAGCAAAGGGAGAAGGTTCCCGGCTTTCCTTAGAAGGAAAGTTGATTACAGTCCCTTATTCCACAGCAGTTCCAGCCTCTCCTTCTCTGGGTTTGTTTGGGAACTACTGTGAGTTTCCAGCTGGAGTTTTATATGCATGGCACACTTCCACCCTCTCCAGATCCTCCATAGATTTCTGCAAAGAAAACAGTCTGTGGTCGGAGCCTGCTGAAACCGTACCACAAGCCTGCTGCCAAGTGTCCCCTTCCTGCTTACCCTTTGGTCCCTCTCCTTCCCCGACGCCGTTTTTTAAAAGAGGAAGTGAATAGACACGGTTGCCTGGCCACAGTCAGTAAGAATTTAACCCTTTCACTTTCTGGGCTGAGGCTGTCGGACTTCCCTAACTCAACCGGGTTATTTTTGAGTCACCGTTTTGGCCCGCCTGTTTTTTAAAGGGCAAGTTTCAACTTCAAATTGTGCGGGACTGCTACATTACTCAGCTAATTCAGATAAAAATTGTCCCCAGAATATTCATCTTTGGGAACATAAAAACCTAAACTACACAAAAAATAGTTTCAAGCATTCATCTGTTTTTAACAAAAAAGCCTTGGCTTTAGGGTGAGTCAGGGAACACAGAAATTTTAAAAAATAATAGTAACGTTCGCTTTTTTTCTTTTTCTTTTTAAGGGATTTTATTTATTTAGAGAGCATGAGCAGGGGGAGGGGCAGAGGGAGAGAAAATCTCAAGCAGACTCCCTGGAGTGGGGAGCCCTGGGCTGGGCTGGATCCCACAACCCTGAGATCATGACCTGAGCTGAAATCAAGTCAGACCCTTAGCCACTAAGCCCCCCAGGTGGCCCTGGTAACATTTACTTTTTTAAACTGGGTCATGGATATGGGAGTGTTCTGTTGTTTCATTATTGTTATATCCTATACATATGTTATAAATATTATATCTCTTCCATTTTTAACAGCTTTTTTGAGGGGGAATTGACCTACAATAAACTGCATATTTAAAGTGTACAGTCTGGGGGTGCCTGGGTGGCTCAGATGGTTGGGTGTCTGTCTTCGGCTGGGGTCACAATCCCAGGGTCTTGGGATCGAGCCCCACTTCGGGGTCCCTGCTTCGCGGGGAGCCTGCTTCTCTCTCTCCCTCTATTGTTTCCCCTGCTTGTGCTCTCTCACTCTTTCTGTCAAATAAATAAATAAAATCTTAAAAAAAAAATAAAGTGTACAGTCTGATAAATTTTAACATATGTACATACCTGTGATGCCATCATTTCAGTCAAGGTAATGAACATATCCATCACTCCCAAAAGTTTCCCCTTGCTACTTTGTAATCCTTTCCTCCTGCCCTCCCCAACCCAAGGCAGGTACTGATCTGTTTTCTGTCACTAGAGATTGATACGCATTTCCTAGAATTTTAAGTAAATGGAATCAGGCATTATGTGCTATTTTTGTCTGACTTCTTTCACTCAGCATAATTATTTTGAAGGTCAGCAACATTGTTGCATGAATCCATTGATTTTATTGTTAAGTAGCATTCCATTGTATGGATGGATAACAGTTTATCCATTTACCTGTTGTTGGATATTTGGGTGGTTTCTTTGTTTTGGGCTGTTACAGATTGAGCTAATGTGAACATCAGTGTACAGGTCTTTGTGTGGACATGGGCTTTCATTTCTCTTGGATAAATTCTTATGAATAGAATGTATGGGTTACATGGTAGGCAAATATTTAACTTTTTAAGAAACTGCCAAACTGTTTTCTAAAGCAGGTATAGTATACCATTTTATATTCCCACTGTTAAGTGTAGGAGAGATTTAGCTGCTTCACATCCTCACCAATACTTGGTATGGTTGTCTTTGTAAATTTTAGCCATTTTAAAAGGTATGTAGTGGGCGCCTGGGTGGCTCAGTTGGTTAACCGACTGCCTTCGGCTCAGGTCGTGATCCTGGAGTCCCTGGATCGAGTCCCGCATCGGGCTCCCTGCTCGGCAGGGAGTTGCTTCTCCCTCTGACCCTCCCGACCCTCCCCCCTCTCAGGCTCTCTCTCTCTCAGACTCTCTCTCTCAAATAAATAAATAAAATCTTTAAAAAAATAAAAAATAAAATAAAAGGTATGTAGTGGTCTCTCATTGTACTTTTAATTTGCATTTCCCTGATGATTAATGATGTTGAGCATCTTTTAATGGGCTTATTTGCCATTTGTGTGTATTATTTGGTAAGGTGTCTGTTCAAATATTTTGACCATTTTTAAATTAGGTGGTTTTCTTATTGAAGATTCTTTGTATATTCTCAGTATAAGTCATTTATCAAATGTTTGGTTTTTTTCCTAGTCTGTGGCTTGTCTTTTTATTCTCTTAGCAGTGTCCCCATCTTGTCCCCTCTCCTCTGCTCTCCTTGCCTCTGGCAACCACCAATCCGTTCATCTGTGAATTTGTTGTTTTTTTCTTTTTTGTGGGTTGGGTTTTTTTTTTTTTCTTTCTCTCTCTTTTTTTTTTTTTGGTTACACATGTAAGTGAAAACATATGGTATTTGTCTTTCTCTGACTTATTTCACCTAGAATAATGCCACTAAGAGGTGCCTGGGTGGCTCAGTTAGTTGAGCATCCGTCTGACTCTTGGTTTCAGCTCAGGTCATGATGTTGGGGTCATGGGATCAAACCACCCGAGTCAGGCTCTGCTCTCAGCAGGGCGTCTGCTGGGATTCTCTCTCTCATCTCCATCTGCCTCTCTCCCACTCTCTCTCTCTTTCTCTGTAAAATAAATAAATAAGTCTTTAAAAATCAACCAATCAATCTAAAAAAAAAAAAGAATAATGCCATCAAGGTCCATCCATGTTGTCATTTTCTTAGCTGTGTCTTTTATTTTGATAAAGTCCAGTTTGTACATTTTCTTCTTATGGCCCATGATTTTTTTCCCCTAAAAACCCTTGCCTTTTCTATGGTTGTAAAGAATTTCTCTTACATTTTCTCTCTACATGTTTTATAGTTTTAGATTTTATATTTAGGTTAGGTCTATGATTCAATTAAAGATTTTTTTTTCTTTTTTAAATATGGTATATGAGGTAAAGGACAAAGTTAATTCTTCTAGTTTTATTGAGATATAATTGACAGAAAGCACTTTATAAGCGTAGGGTATATAGCATAAATGTTAATATTTTTTCCATATGAATATGTAGTTACTACAGCATAATTTGTCAAAAGGACTATTCTTTCCTCAGTTAAATTATCTTGGCAACTTTGTTGAAAATCAGTTGCTCATATACGTGTGGGTCTATTTCTGGGAATTCTATTCTGCTTTATTTTCTGTATATCCATCCATATGCCAGGACCATACTGTTTTGATTACTGTGGCTTTATAGAAAATCTTGAAATCAGGTAGTTTAAGTTCTCTTATTTTGTTCTTCTTTCTCAAAATTGTTTTGACTATTCTAGGTAGTTTGCATTTTAAAATAAAATTTAGAAATTTTAAAATTATATAAATATATATATTGTATATTTTTAATTGCAAATTTAATTTCTTTAGTAAATATAGGAATATTAAGATTTTCTAGGTCTTCTCGTGTCTGTTTTGGTAATCTGTCTTTCAGAAGTTTGCCACCTAACAAGTCTAAGTTGTTGAATATATTGGTATAGAGTTGTTCACAATATTCTCTTCTAATCCTTTTAATATCTGTAGGATCTATAGAAATGCTTTCTTTTCCATACTGATACTGATATTTTGTGTCTTTTTTTGTCAATTTAGCTAGAGGTTTTTGTTTTTTCGAATTTTTATTTAAATTCTAGTTAGTTAACATACAGTGTAATATTGGTTTCAGGAGTAGAATTTAGTGATTCATCACTTACATATGACACCTGGTCCTCATCATAACAAGTGCCCTCCTTAATCCCCATCACCCATTTAGCACATCCCCTGCACACCTCCCTTCCAGCAACCCTTGGTTTGTTCCCTATAGTTAAGAGTCTTTTATGGTTTGCCTCCGTCTTTTTTTTCCTTCCCCTATATTCATCTGTTTTGTTTCCTAAATTCCACATATGAGTGAAATCATATGGTATTTGTCTTTCTCTGACTGACTTATTTTGTTTAGTATAATACACCCTAGCTCCATCCACGTTGTAGCAAGTGGAAAGATTTCATTCTTTTTGACTGCTGAATATTCCATTGTATATATAGACCCATCTTCTTTATCCATTCATCAGTCGGTGGACATTTGGGCTATTTCTATAATTTGGCTATTATTGATGGGGCTTCTATAAACATAATGGTTCATGTGCCCCTTCGAATCACTATGTTTGTATCCTTTGGGTAAATACCTAGTAGTGTAATTGCTGGGTTGTAGGGTAGTTCTATTTTTAACTTTCTGAGGAACCTCCATACGATTTTCCAGAGTGGCTGCACCAGTTTGCATTCCCACCAACATTGGAGAGGGTTCCCCTTTCTCCACATCCTCACCAACACCTCTTATTTCCTGTGTTGTTAATTTGAGTCATTCTGGCAGGTGTGAGGTGGTATCTCATTGTGGTTTTGATTTGTATTTCCCTGATGATGAGTAATGTTGAGATCTTTTCGTGTCTGTTGGCCATCTGGATGTCTTCTTTGGAAAAATGTCTATTCATATCTTCTGTTTCT